TTCGTTCACGGCGTAATCCGGTGAACAATGCGCAGTTTTTTAATCTCGAAATAGACAGAACTACGAGCACGCCGCCAGGCTTCATTATAATTAATTTCCGCGTCAATGACAACGAAGTTTTGATGTTTATGGAATTTAAATAAATTTCTTTTACACTCGAGTCGTAGGTATGTTCGAACGTGTTCATTACGTTATTCAAAAGAAAAGAAAAAAATATACAATCAAATAAAATCAATTCCAATCACAGGACATCTTTGTATGTCCGCCTCTCGGAAACTCATTTGATGATATTAAAATACGCTGCACAGGCAGCGCTAAAGAAAGGACAAATACCAAAGGACATAGAATAATAAACGAAATGAAAAAGATAAACAAAAGTGCGCCTGCACAATAGGACAATACAGTGAAAAAAGAAAATGGAAAGTTAATTCAAAAACATGGCAGGAAAAAAAACCTGATTAGATGAAAACAGAAAAAAGTCCAAAATAAAAACACAAACAAAAACAACTTTCAGTAAGTGAATAATAAAGTTGTAAACTTTTTTCAAAGTTTTTCATTTTATAAAGGGTGTGTTACCGATTTTTAAAGCAACAAGCAACAAACTTGTCTACATCTGAAATAAACCAACATAACCTCAAAAAGTGATTTAAAAAATATGGCGTTCTCATTGCTATCCCATTAGAATCAAACAACTTCATCTTGAGTCGTACGAGTGTTCTCTCTGAATAAGCACACAAAGGACTCGCAGCGATCGCCATTGTGAACCCGAGCTGCTCAAACTGTGCGAGTATGTAAAAGCCGGAAGCGGTCCGGAAGACGTCCGAAACTGCCGTTTTCCGCCATCGCGCGACCCCGCAGCCATCCCTCTGCGGTGGGCAAGGATTCCCAAAGAGACCATCACCAGCCATATCCGCACACACGCGCGCACACACTTTGGTCACAAACCTCATAAAACTTAGCTCATATACAATAGTGTTTATTTCCGGGGCGCGATGTGTGTGCTAGCAATATGTCCATCTCATACACTCATCACGAACACGATGCGAGAAAACAGTGAAGCTCACCGAAAGAAGAGACACAAACGCATGACATGAGTACGAGAGAAGATGGCCGGCGGCTGGTAAAAGGACTCCGCCAGGATCCGGCGGACTTTAACGTTGCATTAGGTCAGGGATTAGAAGCGCGGTCCTTTTCGGTTATAAAGTCATCCTGGCGGGGCTCTCGTAAAGATGCGTATACGGTGCGCAACTGTACGGTCCTTTTGGATCGTCGTCCTTTTCGCCAAGACGCCGCCGGACCGAATGGGTAAAAGGACGAAATGTTGTAAACACACAGGAGGGCGATGCAAATGTGTCCCGAGTGTTTGCACATGAAAGTTTTACTTCGGAGGGTTAAAAATGCCACCGAAATTATTTTTTTATTAGATTTAAGTGAAAAAATCCTGAAATGTTATTTTTATTTAAAAACCATCAAAATTATTCAAAAACAAAAAAAGTAAAACAATAAATCACTTAATCTACTTTTCAAAGATATCGGCGGTATACTCAATTGTTTGATTAGACTTGAAATTGAATTAATACAACATTTCCTTAATCAATGCGCATCAGCAAAATCAATGCACCTTGTAGTCTTGGCAATGTTGATCTGAGTAGCACGCAAGCCGGAAGTGTCCAATGAATCATTGCAATCCGAAATACGGTCTTTATCAATTCGCATTGAATGCACGCTCGAAATTCGCTTGCGTGCATCTCAATTTCGGCACATGAATACGATTTGGAGCGTATTCTCGCCGTACGCGAAGCATATTTATGCTGGCGTTTTGTTTGCCAGATGGCATAATGCACGCCGGCAACATTCAATACGGACGGGCGCGGTTCTTGCCTGTGTCGTCTTTCATCGCTGCGATGAACGCGCGCCGCGCAAACCCCAATTTGCGCAAGAATAGCGCACACGTTTGGCTACATATTTCATAAATGTCTTCGTCTGCCGAGCGGACATTATTCGGCGCTCGCGGTTGTTAAGTGTATTAAACGTGCGCGCACACGGAAGTCTATTAACCACCGGGGCCGCGCACGCTCCGTGCTCACCGCCGAGATGGAAGATTGTTTATTTCAATGCAGACGCGAATGGATCGCTGATTGCACAACAGCTTGATGGCGAATAATACAAAACGGCTCGATTTCGAGAATGAATAATGAACGACAATCCGTCGCTCGCATTGTTTCATTTGTGTACGCGCGTGAACAACGTGCATATTGTGTTTGTAATAAATACGCGCTTATCATTTTGATAATATCAAACCGTGACAGTGATATAATGATTAACACCATGTAATTTATAACTACAATCACACCACTATTTTTAATTAAGTTTTTATGCAACTAAAGGCTAATAACATGAATTATTCACTGTTGTATAATGAATATTATGTACGGCTTGGCTATCCGTATATAAAGTACCACTTTTGGTGTCTAAAAATCGTGGAAAAACTGACGTTTTATAGATGGAAGTAGAAATAATACAATTATTATTCTTCAACATTTTATTACGATAACAATTTGTTTTTATTTTATTTACAGTACAGAAGCGTTGTGGCGAGCAAACTAAAAATTGTCATTATCCACGCGTCGCATTATCGGTAATGAAGACAAATAACGCGCGCGCTTCGACAAGCGCACAAAAATCTTTTACTCGCATTTTATTTCGCAACTCGCATTATTCCACACTATATCGTATTATTCTGTGGTTTGCGCACAGCCGTGCCCCAACCTCGACCGTCGCCGCCGCCGTCGTCGGCGTCGTTATTGTTGCTTTCGTCGTCGCATATAACGCTAATCCTCGACGGAGCGTGACATTTTTTTCACGAGCGCCGTCGCCCCTCGCGGGCGGAAACTACCCCAACAGCGGCACGGTTGACGGGCAGAGCGCAAAATATGATGAAATGCGCACGCCGCGCACCGCCAGACGCTTTATGTGAATTTATTTGCTTTCATTTCTGCGAACCGAAGCGCGCAAGACATTCCCGCCGACGTAATCGTGATCGTTGCTTTTATTTTTCATTAAACGACAATGAAATGCATTTAAAGCAAAGCATGTCAACGCGAATAATATTAAATTGATATAAATGTCGTTCGGACAATACGAAATTCAAACCATAACGATATTTTTATATTTTTAAATATAATAAATGACAAGTTTTTAAGAATGTTGAAATATTTTTCAGCGCATGCATCTTCTGGAACTGAAACATTGATTTTTTTAAAATATATTATTTAAAACTACTTTAAAAACCTAACAAAGTTAACAAATTATCGTAACATTGTCGGACATCGTCCTTTTGGCCTTTTACCGCATTTGCCCATTTCCTTTTCCCCATCATTTGGCGGCAAGCTTCGAGTGCAGTTTTACGGACATTGCATTTCAGACTCACGGAAATAGCCGCGGCTTACATACAGAGCTTTCCGAAGCACTTTTCCAACAAACTTCGTCGAACACGCCGACTAAATTAATTACAATTAATTCGCTTCATCCCTATTCGGCCAAGCGGCGCACGATTTGCGCGCACGCATCGAAACTACCATCAGTTTATCTCTCCATTGCGTTTGCTGTTTTCCCCGGTTGCCACTAAAAGCGGAAATGCATTTACGTCTTTATTACATACGCGCAGGGGCGTATTTAACATAAATATCCACCAAAATGTCAATTAACACTCGCCACGAGATGAAAAAAAACTGAAAACTCATTTTTCCGCCGAGGATCGTAGAGGTTGTTATGTGGCGGGGCCGATTGCCAGCTACCGGTGTAAAATATAAAAGTGTAATGTTAAAGAGACGACGCGAATGGTCGCTTAACCTGTGGCGGTCGCCGGATAGAACTTTACCTCCCTTAGTATTATATAGTGTTATGGCAGGGCGGCTCGAACATGAAAAAGGAAAATTGCAAAAGTCGAGCGATGTGCTGGCTGGCTGGCACGGAGAGAAAACTAGCGTTTATGAAATGAGTCTCGCGCGTCTGTAATGCGGTGGCGGTGGCTGTGGCGGCGCGCACCCCCAGAAGGGCAGTTGGCATTTACCACCAGCGGTCCGGGGCGCGCCTATAGCCGACCTTTAACCATTACATTATGGTCTCAACTTGGAGTTAGTGCGCTCAGGTTGCGCCCTTATCATGCCTCTCCTTTTTCGTTCCCAACTATTATCGTCAATTTTTATCAACCTAATTTTGAGGCTTTTATGGCGTTTATTTCGTAAATCTTTACTTTTAGAGGTTAGGTTTAAACAGAATAATATTATATTTTCCCTATTTTTGTATTTGAGGCCTCTGAAATCAGTGATGACGATTCGCAAATTCTCTTAGTGATATCGGTTGCGGTGAGAATGCGGTTCGTTTACACAAAGCACTTGGCGCGCGACAACTTTTCCTATTAAAATGTTTTAATTGATTCGGCGCGGTTTTGGGCGACTGTGCAGCCGGCGTCTGCAAATTAACGCTGCAAAACTTAAAGTGCACTCCTGCGGCAGGCTCATTTGCCACTCGCTTGCTACTTTTAACTTTGCCCGCAACGATTTATTTACCGATAAATACTCGACTTTCATAAGATACTCACTGCCAATCTTAATCCGTAATCAGCTAGATATTAAACTTTGCAACTTGAAAAAAATTGTAGCACGTCAGTCAAAACTGAAGAAGATCGTTAGTCATCCTCAGACAGATTCAGATGGGTATCATCGTCAGAGTGTCCGAAGCGCAACGCGGCGTATCGCCGTGGCAATTAATAACGCCTACACGTGATACGTGATAAATCGCATTGTAATGCGACCGCTGTACATCGCCAGCGACGGTTTGCCGCCCCCGTAGCACAACCGCCGGCGACGTGCGCGCAATGAACACGCCGCCATCGATCTTAATACAAATACATTATTCATCGTTATTTAATACTCGCTACCGGTGTAATTGAGACTAATATTATAATCGACGTGTTAAAAACATTGCCTTAAACTCACCTGAGGTTCGTTCTCCAATTTCGAATGAAAATGTTCGTTGCGATACGTGGAGCGCTTGTGCACATGTTGATGCTCAAAGAGATAATATCCTTTGAGACTTCCAATCTGTAAACAAGAAACAATTCAGTTAATATCAAAATAAGTATGAATACAAAAAGTAAAGAAGTTTTCTACGGGTACATGGCACCAATAAAATTGACTTCGAATTTGTTTAGTGTTCGTTTACGGGACGTCAATTTCAGTCGTAATGCGTTATCGTCGAAATGTCTCGCGCACCTAACCAATAAAACCAAAGTCGTAGATTGGCATGGATTTTCCAGGCGTGTTAACTTCATTTCATCTCCATCCTAAACGCTTCAACCGACGCATTATCCGCTACTTTCTGTACGTCAATTTTTCAATACATACTTTTCTTCCTGTGCATCGAAAAAATAACATTTTAGATGAAATAAAAGTTTCTGGAAAACAGTGTGTCAAGAGTGTCAAGAAAAATATATATTTTATGTTAGTTCTAGAGACCTAGATTTATTATTAATATATCTTTAAATATATTAAATAAATAAATAATAAATAAAAATTTACTCTCTTGTTCCAGATATAGTATATGTCAATTCTATCAATAAAATTCGCAATTTAATTTTAATGAACTTAATTATGTAAAGAATTGCTAATAATGCACTTTAACGCGCCATCTCGGATTCAACTATGTAACTATAACTATGATTGAATCTCAATGCCAACTTTTAACCTATAGAACCGGGGTTTTCCCGGAAATTATCGGAATTTCTCTCAGCGTAAAAACCATCCTAAGACTATAATAAATATTAAAAAAAAGAATTGGCCAAATTTGTCTAGGCGTTATTGAGTTATGCGCATACCAACAGATTTTGCGATTCATTTTTATAAGATATTGGACAAATTGTTTTTTCAACTACGGCTATTTTTCTGCCCGCAATATAAAATTATAGTTTGAGTATATAATAGTGATAGAAAGCGAAGAAACAAACAAGGTGATAACTTATTTACTTTCATTAATTTCAGAATGCAATAACATATCCTGAAAAGTTAATGCGCTAATAAATTGATCAAATTACCAGAATAAATGTTCGCACTTCACAATAATTACATTGTCCCGTCCTCAAATTATCACATTTCATTTCTCAGAAAAAGTTCATTAAATGTGTTTAATAAATGGCCATTAATATGTTACACATCCGGTTTAACAGTATTTCACTCATCGCTAGCAGTTATGCTTTAACATTTCGGGAAGTGGTTAGATCCTTGTTAACCAATTACGCACATAACGAGATGTATCGCCAGAACAAGACCGTTCCTCGAAACAATACACAATACGTGCGTTCTGTTGACCGCAGTATGAGACGCGCACTTCAATTACGACGCAAACCCGGAAATTATCCCGCAAGACCGCTGCGGTTCGTATGCGCTGCACGGTATGGCCGAGAGCTCAAAGGATAATGGAAAGTAATACCAGAGGTGAAAACTGAAATGTTAGAATGTTCGGTGACCTAAACAAATTTCGGCCGGAATCAACACTCTTGCGCTGGCGCCACGGATGGATATCAACAGAAATTCGGTAATTATCGGGGTGAGCGCAATGCGATGCGCAAAAGAGTGTGTGAGCAGTATGTGCAAATTGAATTAATGTAGATTGCGAATGCGCCGCAAACTCGCAAAGCGGAAAATTATAAGGAACAAAGCCTGCGGGAAGAGGACGAGAGCGTAATGTAATTTTCATTTTCTCCCGCACAATGTGAGTGCACACACATGAGTGTCTTATGTAATTTAGGTACTTTTTTGCTTCTTTGTTTGCAAACGAATTATAATGAAGAAACAACACAAGTTGCGAATGAAACGTGAAATGTTTTTAAATTAAAATTTTAGTTATTAATGAATAACTCAGAACCACTTGCAGCAAAGCTAATTTTTTCGTAACTTGCTTCTACTTTAAACCGGATTAGATAACTTTTACAAAAATATTCTGTAATTTTTTATTCTGATTTCTTAAGAAGAAAAGTCTCAAAAATAAATATTTATACCTACCATGTCAAACTATGAAACCAAAGATAATATATATTTGATAAGGCAGCATATAAATATTCAATTATATTCAGAGTAGAATAAAATTCACCAAATAACTTGATGGAAAAAGCTGAACAAGCAGTGAGTGGTGACGGAGCAAACGGGAAAACTCCACACTTCCGCTTCCGCCGCACAGCGTGCGCCCGCAAAACAACCACAAAGTGCGCACAGTGTGCATCCACCCCGTCTGCCTGTCATCTTCGCCAGCGCAATAAAACAAAATTGAATCAACGAAACAAAGCCAAGATTAGCGAGCGTCGAAGCTCCATTAAAGCACAATAAAGCTGCAGCGGAGCCATCTAAAATCCCACAAATAAATTATTTATTCATTGCGTATCGAATTCAACAAGTTGCTGTTTTGCTCTGATTGGAAACCGAATCGAAAGTATAGCATAGAACAGACGGTTTATCGTTTTAACTCAACTGTGGGAAGCAGTAACAAAAAACACAACAAGAGTAACGTGCTCTCGCTTGGTTTAAATTTTTTATGCGCTTCCATTTTCATTACGTTCACGTCTGCTATGGAGATAGTCGTCGGCCGAGGGGTGTGTTGTACACTTATACACTTAGTGACTTGAACGAAGCATCCAGGGATAAAATGCTTGACGCCCGACGGCGACTGCAGCCCCACGAGCAAAGTGGCAAACCATGTTCGCCACGTCCATCCTTCTCGCAGAAGTAGGTATATCACGCCAGCAAATATCACCAAACCGAAAAAAAAAGTAACCACCAATTTCGGGTGAGTCTTGTAAGCAAATAATGATTTGAAGCTGTTTCCAGTATTCCTATTTATTGGAATGCAAGCAAGATTAATACCAGGCATTTATTAACCGAAAACTCAGCCACCACTCTGCTTGCCAAAGCGTCGTGTATCCTGAAATATATCTCTACCGATATTCATTACACATATTACATTTTCCTATACACGCCTGTGTTTCGCGCAGCCGAGAGGGGACGAGAGTAATAATGGATGCGTTATTTTACGAGCGCATTAAAGCGCCGGCGACTAATGGTCGCCTTTAATTATGAACGAACGAATAAATTAATATATCTGCAAAGTGCGCCGCGCGATGCGAACAGGACGCAACTTATGTAACGCTAAATTACGTGACACAGGTAATAATCCGGAATGTATACGTTTGTTTAATCACCTTAATAAATATAAAGCTTCATCGTGAATACCAGTTAAATTCTAATCGACGTTTTTCACCATCTCGTATTTTGTTATTTTGTTGTCAATTTTAAGCGTTCGTTTGCGCTAGCAAACTGGTGGATATATTTATGATTTCATCGAAGCAGCCGGCTGCGGCCGTAATTTAATAGTGCATCATAAACTTCCTGCTGTCCTTGCTGGCGCTTCCGCAACGTTGTCTTTGTTGCGTTCGTTTGCTCGAAGGCGGCGCACAGCCCGCGGCGTCATTAAATAAAACTGAATAATAAAAGCGATTAACTCGTTGCGAGTTTGCATAATGCATGCGTTTGGAAGTTGGGTGGAAACGTCGTGCTGAGGCTTTCGCGATTGTTGCTTTGTGTACGTCGCAAAGTACTAAATCCTGCCAAGAAGTCGCAAGAAGTATAATGATACACTGTTAAGCGCTTCGTATACAAAGTTGCAATTAGGTGGCTCAGAAAATTCCGAGTTATTTCATATTACTGCTAACGACCAATTCGTATCGTATACCATTTGATGCTTTCTTTGAGAAAGAATTGATAATAGCTTATGTGCTAAAGAATGGTTAATGATACATTCCCAGCTAATATCTACGTACGAAAGTAAATATTATTTCTTTGTCAAATTTGTACATTTAATAAAATCTGAGACAATTTTATTAGTTTCATGTGAAATTTTATAAAACTTATTTAATTATTGAAACCTGTTAAAAACTGCATTATATAAAAGGAATCAACATAAAATTTTCTTTTCAAATAAATATAATTCAATTCATTCAGAAATTGCATAGAAAACGTACAAATGTTAATACACACCAACTTTAGTTACATCATAACTATGCTGTAGTGGCATAAAAAAGTTGCAATCAAAATACAAATAATAGCAAAATGTATAAATTAAAATTTCAAGGCACGAAAGCAAAATATGTCAACTGCTTTTGAATGAAAGCGTCTGTCACGAGTAGGAATATTCCGGAGGCCGCATGCCGTAGAAAACCAAACTTCCGACGTCACAACGGCGCCTGTTCAAAGTTAGCTAATTTAATTCGGCGGCGAGTGCACAATACACTTTTTCATCTCGAATCTAGCCGCTAGCTGCACAAGGACATATTGCAGCAAAGTGCACATCGCGTGCATATTCATGCGAACACGACATCATAAAACCGAATAATGCACCCGCACGCACGTTAGTTTTCATACATACATTCCATAAAACTGCAAACTAAATAACTGCGAGGCTTGTAGTAAAACTAGGCGTATGCTTTCGCAATGCGATTACAACGTGCAAGACAGCAACGGTAAATGTTGCAGCAACAAGCCGCCCCTGTTGGCACTCCACGTCTACACATTTCCCGTTAGACTAGTCTCCAACTTTTCTACTCAACCTGGATGTGACTGAATTATTATAATAATGCTTTCTAACTTTTTCACTAACTTTCGTAATTTTAACTTGTTTAATATTTTTGTGATGCGTATGTCATTTTTTTATTAACGTTGTTTGGATCACAATAATGCAAAATGTTAATTTATTGACCTGCAGCAATTTCATTAGTGCCATGAAATAATAATGAACACAATTACATTCTCATATTAATAATTAATTATTTAACTGGATAGAGGTTCACCAGGGTAAAATACAAATATAATTTATTAAAATTTATGTCCCCGAAAATGACAAGATCAAAGCAGCAACCCCCAGCAATTTAATTTCGCAAAATTTACACAAAAGCAACTTTTCATTTAAAAGCACTGCGAGCGTCAGAAGACATTACGATACAAGTATTTGCGTTGGAAAGTTAAGTTGTGCCGAATTGTGTAACCTAAGGACGGAATGA